TGTAATTGACCTAGGAGTCATGTCCTTCACAAATAGCTCTACAAATATCCTTAAAAACATTATTCTTGAAAAAAAAATTAATTTTTTTTTTTTTAAGGCACAGCAATTTTTTTTGACGAGATCTGCCTCCACATTGCGCTACTGCATAGGTTAAGTCTTAGAGGAGTAATAAAAATTATCACAAGAAACTGATTCATAACACGAAGCAGCATTAAAAGTGATTGCGAGTAGTGTGCCGTCAAATGTATGAACATTCAATGAAAATTCATACCGAAAATTATCAGAACGGACTCTCAGCGTCGCTCATTGACTCAATGAGTAAAACAGACCGCGACGTTCATATTAGCGCATGGGTGCAACTATTCGGACTTTCCGGATGTGCGTGTTGCTCACGAATAATTGAAGGCGTTTTAGTCTTAATCGTGCCTTCGGTGACTACAGAACGGCGCTTTTACACATATTTTTTACACATCTTGTCAATGAGCTAGGTTTGTCGTCAGTTTTGGTAATTTTTGGTATGAATTGTCAACGAACCCTCACAAATTTTATACAACTGCTATTACACAATGGATCAGTTCCTGTATTGATTGATAGCTTTAGATACTTATTAATGCTCTTGTTAACACCGATGAACTGAATAGCAGCGCAACGGAGCGGCAGATTTCGTCCCTATATCACTCAGAATCACCTTCATGCCAGCAAAAGGGCGATACGAAAGGCGATATACCTGACACAGAGGGCAAAAGTAAAAAAAGAATGGTCAGATTCAGACTGCTACTTTTTTGATGGCCCTCGTAAAGTCGAGTCTGATAAGCATCGTTAATAAACGGACTGTAATTAAGCACGCGCTTCATATGCCGATTTCGACTCAAGTTGTAAGGGCATTTTGTTTTCACCTGAAAAATATATTTTTTGGACCTACTATCTTCCTAAAATGTGGGTTCACTTAGGGGCTTGTAAACTTTCATTGCTCACGAATCCTCGTGTTGCCCTTTTAACTGTAAAAATAGTAAGGTAGGCAGGTAAGTATTTTGAGAGAAAGGGAACGCAAAAATCATGACGATCTCATCGAACTATTACGCGAGGAAAACTGAAGAAAAGACGCAACCGAATCCATTTCAACAGCTAATTGGCGTGAAACGCGGTGTTTAAACGCGAGAAAAAAGAAATGGACGCTCGAATTTCACGCTGTGGCCTGTGGCGAAGCAGATGACATCATCGATACAGAGACATGGTTTACAAATTGTGCACAAACTAAAATCTCATAATGGGAAAATGCTAGGCCCATATTTCTGTTCTCGGTCAGTCGGCAACGTTTCGTACCATCTCGCAAGAATGGACGATGGGTAGATAATTCGCTTGAATCCCCGTCAGTCTGAGGTCACTTGGAGAGCCCTTATCTCTGACGAGTTTTTTACGCTTTGGCTTAACTCAATCACTGGTCAAGACACCTTAGATTATTCTAGAAACGGTTCGAAAGAAACTGAGACAGAGGATGAAAAAATTACCGGAGAGGGTGGAAAAACTACCACATACAGATATCATGTGACATATCGTGATTTTTTTTGAGGAGGTAATTAATTAATAATACTTACTAAGGTCGTTTTTCGGAGCATTTGTATACATAATGGCGCCCTTAAAATTCAAGCACACTCGCAAAAAGGCGAAAATAAAGTACCCAAACCTTAAAGCTCAGCATTCCAGTGGATGATGTAAAATTGTACGAAAAATATGAACTATACTCTAACATTGAAAAAATCCACGCTTAACTCCACGTTCTGAAAAATTTTCAGTGTAGCTCCAACGCGCGCTACGTCCAATATGCTTCCTCAAAATACCTGCTGTAAAAATTCACCAGGGGTGACGCTAAATAAGTTTAAGATTATTTTACATCGTCTGTCTTCAGTTTAACATCGATAGTAGATGCAAGAATGAAAGTGGTGGATCGTCAATCTATTTTATTTTTTGGAGAGGTTTATAGGCTAGTTAGAAACTTTGGACGTATGCCCTCTTTCAAGGAAATGAAGAAGAACTGAGACATCCAAAATGGGTGGACAAGTAGGTTTAAAGTGCATTTTGAAACATCATTTTTGTTATTTAAGTAGAACATGGAGGTGCAATTATCAAATGAATACCAAAGTTCGGAGACACTTTTCTTTTTCCCGCAAGAAAGTAAATTGAAAAACGAGAAAAAAATAAGAAGAAAACTAGAGTATGTGCAAGAAGCTTTCATAGAGTCAAAATGAGACCCAAAAAAAGAAAACTTTTACCAGGAACCTATTCAATTAAAGACGGCGATTCATTATCTGAGGCAAAATGGACCCAATTAGAGCGCGTATTTTTTTGGCGGGAAACGACGCGACGCGGCATCTCGCGGCCGGCAACGTGAGGAATCAATTGACGGCGGCAGACGCGCCGGCACCGGGGTCACCTGGGGCAGAGGTCACGTGCTGGAGAGGTCAGTTTAAAGGTCACCGGAATGGTCACTCCAACTAATTCGTCGCTTTAATTCGATTTGTCGCCTTGTCACCGCCACAGCCGCCGCGCGCTAACAGAGATACTCCGCAGATGACTCCGCCCAAACGATTCATCCCCTTGTTGCCGAAAATTCACTATATTACCGGAAAAAAATAAATCGGAAAAGCAAAGGGGTCATTCAGTGCCACGACCGGTGGAAAGGAGGATCTAGGGTCCGGTCAATGGGAGGAGGAATTTTTGTTCTTGTCCCTTTTGTTGTAGGAAAAGTTTCCCGACGAACGTCGTTTTTCGAAATTTTTAGAACTTTTTTATCACTGGACCACAGATCTCACCTGAGAAATTTTTGATCGTAGACATCCACTCAATGAGTAATTTTTTGCTATGCCGCTCAGGCCGTTCAAGAAAATTTGACGTCGAAAATCGGATTTTTTAACCCGTCTCCGTAAAGCATCCTGAAAAAAGGTCTGCACCTACACGGAGAAAAAAACTTCGTGCATGGGACCCGAAGTTTAGGTCATATGGATCTCTGAAGTTTTCGGATCACGCATCCGAAAACTTGAGGTCGAGCTGCCGAAGATACTTCGGTATGTACCGGAGTACTTCAGATGTGTGACCTGACACCTTCGGTATATATCGAAGTACTTCAGATGTCTGACCCGAACTTCGGCAGCTCGACCTCAAGTTTTTAGATACATGCTCCGAAAACTTCAGAGATCCATGACCTCAACTTCGGGTCCCACGCACGAAATTTTTTTCTCCGTGTACTTACAGCGAATCACGTAACACGCTATTCGATCCCTCTCTGTCCCTAAAATTGACGTCTCATGATTAATTCAGGATGAATGCTGTCTTGCGTCAATTTCCGTTTTGGATTCTCGGAAAATCAACGATACGTTACGTAGTTCTGGAGTACCCCCTTTCCCATTAAGATTCCTATAGTCAGCTATTTTTATTTATTGTCTTTTTTCCTTTTTTGAATTTTTTGACTTATTGGAAGCAAAGGAAACCATAAAACTTGACCAGAGACATTACATTTTATCGTATACGAAAGAATCGGCACTATGATACCTAGTAGGAAAATGACATCTAATCAAGCACTCCCTATTCTGCAATGTCTCTAAATTTGCGTCAGAAGAAATTTTAACTACGCAATAAATAGTCTAATGCTATAAACTTTATTTTATTTTCACTTATTCTAATAGGTTTGTCCTTTTTCTTGATTAAAAAATGATTTGAACTCTATCATGAAAAGGAAGATAAGGATCTAAATATTAACAGAAGCATAGATGACAAGCACTTTTGTGACTTCTGGCAACGGAGCCCGTTGAGGTTTATCCTCCTGTTTAAATGAATAATGAACTCTTGGAAGCTTTCTTTCATTCCATCTGTGACAGCGAATCACAATTGAATCAATTTGCCGGCTCCCCAACATCCGCTAGATCTCCCGTGTCTCACACATCCCATCGCTGCCTCTACACATCCTACCGCGCCCAAACCATTGACATCTCTCTACCTCGGTTTGCGAATTTCGGGTTTCCTCACCGTGTTGAATAATGTCTTCCGATCATCTGTCTATTATCGAATCCGTCTTTGCTGTCGATCGTCGACCCTCAATCCTCACAAGAGATAAAGGTGTCCACAGCCTCATGCGAGACACGCTCTGAAGGGGATCCATATATGTCGAACTTCAACCATAGGTTTTATTTTTTGGAAAATCGAAATATTACCTTCTAGATGAATCATTGAAAAATAATCGTAGAAAAAAATATTCATGGGAACCTAAAAATAATGTCAAAAGTATATTGTTTCCGATTAGCCATCGATATAGGTCCTTGTCTTAATAGGTATTAATTTTTCAAGCTAAAAACTACTCGGCAACTAATTCATTTTAATCAGACCAAAACAAAGTAAAATCCAAGAATTAGGTTCAAAACGGATGATCTCAAATAGTTCTTCTTCCTTTTTGAAAAACCTAGGTATTCATTGGTGTTCCAACCTTCCAGTACGGTAATGCCCTCTAGTGTTCACAAGTTTTCATGTTTTTTTCTTCTTTTTTTTTAACGGTCGAAAAATACCAAAATGCCAGTTTTTGCAGCTTCTCAAAAATAGAATGTAGTGAGGGACGTTCGTTTTAATCCAATATACATCGTTAATTTCTTCGTTCCTCAGGCTAAAGAACGCAGTAACGTTTTCAACGTTGCACAATTTACACTCGCAAAGCATAGTTTTACCAGGAAACTGTTTGGAGTTTCAAACTGAGAGTTTTCCCTCAAATTGAGAGCGAAAAGTAACACCATTTCGCACAGAAATTATTTGGTCAAGATCCTCCAAAATAATTAAATTTTCTAGTTCAATTTTGCGAACTTAGAATGCAGTCAGGTACGTTCCTTCGCCTGGAAAACAATGATTTACCCTCTGAACGCTCCATTACGAAAATCCAAGTTATTATTATCATCTTGCATGGCACGTTTTCCTGATTGCACTGAAATGTTTATTTCAAAATGAATGGTTATGTGTTGCAGGTAGCGGCTACGGTGGCAGCGCACTTGAACTCTATTTCGGTTGGCATGTGCCAAGGGTACTCAGCCGTCCTTCTACCTCAACTCACGTCGCACGCCAGCCCCCTTCAAGTTTCGAACGACGAGGCATCATGGATAGGTGAGAAATACCGCATGTTCAAGTCCCCCCCCTCCTCTCTCTCATTTTTGAAAAAGTCACACTGATTTTTAGTGGCTTCATGATTCGTGCAATATTCGCGACGTTTCGATTTTCAATTGTTCCAGTCAACACAGAGGATCATAACCGGAGGGTGCAAATTCTGTTCAGATTTATCGTGTTAATTCATCACAATCTTTTCATTAACAAATCAAACATCTTCAATGATTTATAATCCATTAACTCAAAACGAAGAATTATGATCGAAAAAAAAACACTTGGGGCCGTATTTTTAGCTATTTTTCGTGACTTCGTCTACACGAGCAGTTTGCTGTATTTTAGGAGGATTAGTTCAACGAACTTACTGACAGGACGACAGGTCTTTCCTTCTCAGTGTCAAGGCCTTCCAATTTTCCGATCTCTACCTTTGTTAGTTACAGTTTCAACCTATACTTTGAAAAAATAAACGTTTCGTTGACCAAAAAAAAAAAAAAAAGTTCAATGGACTGCGCTTACGGATTAAGTTATTGCTGAGTTATGATAAGTTCCGGGAACAAGTTCGCCCGGAGTTTCGCGAACCACGGTAAGCCCTATTCAGTAGAATTTGAAATTTTTCCGCAATTAAATCCGCACCGTTCATTGTCCATTAACGTTAAGAAATCGGAGATGCAACTACGCATGAGGCTAGTTGAGTAAGTATTTTACCCGCATCGATGCTGAAATTTCAGCTCCGGCGTTCCTGGAAACTCGCCATTGGCCTAGACAGAACACAACGATCTGTACGCACTGAATTACCCATTGATCTTTTATTTCGAAATTTTAATGTATTTTTATCCTCGAGACGGCGAGCGTATCTTTGAATTTTTGAATTACGAGAGGTCTTGAATTTTTCATGCGTAACACAGAAGATTCCCATGATTTCCCTGGCTTGTTTTTACGCAGTTCGAAACGCAAAAGTTTTCTCGAAGGTTCTTATCCTTTCGATTTCAAAATCGAATTTAAGCGGTTTAAATAAAACTTTCATCGAATTTCAACCGCATTGAGGGGCCACTCAAGTATTATGAAAGCTACTTAAAGGGGGAAGGTGCCTGAGTCTGCCTTACGGAACCTTACGAAGGGGGAGGAGGGAATCAACCCAAGTCTTACGTAAGCCCCCGAATTTTTCTTAAGAAAAATTTTTCCACCTATTTTCAGGCTTTCCTCGTTGATATCTGAGTGGGGGAAGGGGGGGGGTTGATATTACTTATTTGAAAAAAAGTTATGAAAGATCGGACTTAAATGTGCCTTAAATGGAATAAGGTGTCAAAAAGTCGGCCAAAATGCTTTGCGTAATACTGGAACGGCCTCTAAAGTACTTCTACAAATATCTCTCACAAAATGCACAATTTATACACGGATGGTTGAGCATTTTATCATTACGGCATAAAGACAAAATATCACGGCTTGATATTTTTCCGTTTGAAATGGGGTTGAACTTTGGCTACTTTGTAAGTCTCCTTCTCAGCTAAGATTTGATTGAATGAAAACTGGAAGAATGCAGGTATTCTCATGTTTCAGTCACTTTCCGAAAATGAATTGAAAACATATTATTCGCAACAGCCTCATTTTCGTCCTATTAAAACCCCGTTTGATTTTGTTCTGTTTGCAGCTAGTTTAGGAGTCATATCGAATCCGGTAGGCGCATTGCTCTCGGGGGTGTGTATGGAGATATTCGGAAGGCGAACAGCAGTTCAACTCACCTCGTTACCGTTCCTTATTGGCTGGACCATAATCGCCCTCTCTCAAACGCTCACAACGCTATGCATCGGAAGATTTATCTCTGGAATGGCCATAGGTAAATATTAACTCACCTCGTTTCACCATAATTACTTCTTACTAACTAGCTAACAAGTCGCTCTTATAGCGCTTCTGTGCGCTCTGCGACACCCACTGATAGCTATCCTGCCAGAGCTTCTCTGGCAGATCGCATCTCCTCATTTCCTGCCTTTTTCCCTCAATCCACGATTAGATGTCGTCCATGGACCGCTTGTATTTTGCCGCCCCCTTCGCATTCGTTTTGAAAAATCAATAAAAACCAACAAGTGAACGTGCCTGAGGGGGAGGGGTGCATAAGACGCGTTTACCTACTCATGATAAAAGAACAAACATAAATGTGGTTGAATTTTTCAAAAACTGCACTTATGCGGCTTGTCCTCCAAGCCCCTGAAATGTCATTTTATAAGTTTGTAAGAGTAAATTTTTTGCGATAGAAAAAAAATGGAGAGAGCGACGAAGAACTTCTACACTATAACTTTTTCCTCTGAAAGGCCGATTGGAACTAGAATTTGCTTAGCGTAAAATTTCTATTTGGTGTTAATACATTATTCCTACGTTTTTGAGGTGGAGAAAAATAAGAGAATCACAAGAACATCACGTCAGCCCATAAAAAATGGCTCATATTTTTCTCTACTGAATGTTCATTGCATCACATTGTAACTGATAAAAGTGAAATTCATCACGCGCTTTTTGACCGGTTTACCAATCGATCCACATGATTATAAACACAGCTTCCTTCTAGCTGATTTCATTATCATGAAATCTGAAAGACAAAATGCAATGTTTTTGTGAGGAAAACTGGTTTTAAAACTTGTCGCCTCAATCCCATTTTCGATCGAGCAATCACTTGAGCGACTAATCAACCATTTCTGCTTGCGTTTTTACGTTCTCCTGCCAGACACTCCGCCTTACTTTATGCATGGTCATTTTTGCCACTATTATTATAAAATTGCTGTGCATGTTTAGTCAATACATTTTTAATATGTATGGCCAGATTTTACTCGGTCATTTGACTACCATGTGTAGAATTTGCTCGCAAAAACGTAGGTCCGAGGAAAAGATCGCTCAGGTTCAGGAGAAATCTGCTAATAGTTTACATTCCGCGCACTTGCTATAATCGATGAAAAGAATTTTAATGGGCCATTGATGTTATTCAGATCGATTAGTATTGATTTTGATGTGCATCCACCGGGAAAGCGGGATTAAATAACGTACTTAAAATCATTACTTACGTATCTCAAAGCCACTTATCCGACTGTGCGACTTCTCTTGCGCTGACTACACATACAACCTTCAGAAAAAAATTACACTTAAATGTGTTTTAAAGAGGAAAGAAATGGGATTGGATCATTTAGCCTTCTTTTTTTTCCTTCTCATTTTAAGAATAAGTCAGTATCCCTACAGAATCAAAAAAGACAGTGGCATGAAACTAAGACAGGAAAGGGATCACCCTACAAGTGTTGATTGTTCAAACTAAACTATAAGTCACGGGCACTTAGGGACTATCCCTAAATTACGTAATGCACTTTTTCGGCATTTTTTACCCCCATCCCATCTTCTCTTGTAACGCTTTGTGAGGTAGGTCCCTATCCTTAAACATGTAAAAACAAAATAGCGTAACACTCTCCTCAACCTGCCCCCTCGCCCTAAAGCGTTACCTAATTTAGGGGCGCCCCCTTTATTAGTAAACGTAGCATTTTTTTTTTTTTTTTTTTTTTTTTTTTTTTTTTTTTTTTTTACATAGTAAGTGTTACCAGTTTCACGGAAAGTCAGAATGAAAATATTCGGTGAATTCGCGGTTTAAGTAAGTACGTTGAAAATTATCCTCCTTTTCTTATGGATAATATCACAAATATAATAGATGACATTGGCCTGACAAATTCCGAAACTACGGCAAGAATGGAAGCGGCCTAAAAATTATGGTGGCAGTCAACCTATAAACACACATACTTAAGTCCCTAAAGCTGAAAATTAACTCTGAATCCCATTGACTTTAAAGCAAACGGCTCTAATTCCGACTTTGTGTCTGCGGACGCAGCAGCTATCGGTAAAGTTTCTTGAAGATCCATCTAGTGCTCACAACCTTACACACCAACGCTGCCGTGCTAAAGAAAAACGCGTATGAACCCTCAGGCGTTGCCAAATTTCGATTGATAAAACACTAATTTCCTGGTAAACTTATGAATATTTTCCTTATAATTTTTCAGATAATTTTGATCGCAATTTCATCTAAAGTTCCTGAAAATTTCAAGGAAATATATTCATAACTTGCCTCAAAAATTAACACTTTATCGAGGGAAATTTGGCAACACTCGAATGTTCATACGGCGTTCTTCCTTAGCACGACAGAACGAGCAGCTAGGTCCACCTGTGCTCATGGATACTGAAAGCGCTCAGATGGAGGGAACTCCCTCCTGAAAGCCGTAGATCGTGGCCGATGGTTAGACTTTGACGATTTCCGGCTCGGTGATCGATTGGTTTGATTGATCTGGTTCGCTGATACGGCACCGTCCGCTTTGCAACATGCACCGCACGCTGACCCTGAACTTTGACAGGACAGACTTCCAAGCGAAGCACACGATTTTCTTCCCTTTCCTACCCCTCCTTCAGCCGCATGGATGCCGAGTCTGAGACAATCCTCGTGTCCTGACAAGGTACCAAATTAATTATCAGGAGCAGAGGCAAATCTGTTGTGATCCCAATGGGAGTATAATACGTTCAGCACATAGAGTACACTTACACTATGGTGTAAAAGAGAGGTGGTCGAAAAGAGCGTTACTCCATTTTGTTTTAACGCGTTAAAGGATAGGAATGTACGTCACAAAAGCGTTACAAGGGGAGGGGGGGGGGAAATGCCGATTAATGCGTTGCATAATCCAAGGACGCGACCCCTAGAAAATTAATTTTACTGATCTGTATGAAATCAACCAGTTTATTTGAGATACATTAGTCGGATCTTGAAGTAAATTCAATTTCCAAAAATATTGCTTCACAGCTCCTTTCGTTAACACGGCAGAAATATACATCCTCCTATAATACCATATATAACCACTTGGCAACAGGTGGAAAGTTTCATTCTCGAATACAGTTTCGAACTCAGTTAACTGAAACCACAAAAAACTGAAGGTCCAACGATGAACAATGTGATTTAGATTAAAGCACTAACTACGCGCACCAGAGTCTTAGAGCGATGGGAGTCTTGAGCTCGCAGTTGGTTTATTTTCCTCCGTAGCTCCGTATATGTGACTCACGGATCGGATTTTAATGACATTTAGAGAGCGACTACACATTGATACCGGAAACCCTTGCCTTATTTATCGATATTGTGACGGAATAACTTTACGATCGGTTTGGTCATTTTCCGTTACATCTCTAAGGAAGAAAACAGAGGGGAAGAGCCGGCCTGTGAATCAAGTTTTATTGCAAAAAAATCGAATAAATGATTATTCAGCGTTCAAATTTTAGACGTGGGAGCTCTAATGTCGGCTGTCCCTCCTGGTTTGACAAATAATATGAGAGGTAAAAAAGTAAACAAATAAGAGTTACAGCGTTTCATAACAAATGTAATCTACTTCCTGGTTCTTCCATTGAATTCACCTGCCTCGCAAATAAATTGTCTCAGGTCTCAAGGAATATTTACGGATTTAGGATGGTGAATTTCTAAAGAGTGAAGTTTTGCTTTAATGTAAGCTTCAAAAAGGGTAAAATTTTACTTTGCCAGAACCTTTAGACAATGATGCGTAAACCTGTTGACGAATATGATCCACTTAAGATTCCCCTTCAATTTTGCCGCATATGCAACAGACATGCCGTCGAATGTGTATCTATTTGCTAACGATTTTTTATTTGATAACCAATGAACGACGTTGTGACCCTTTTGGTATAAAGTCCATTTGAAGTTCACATCTGATATTGCCGCATGAGCTGCATGTAGTAGGTAAGCTGCCAATCTTAAGCACTACGAAGTGCGAATAGTTATTTATTCCAAAAACTCACACTATTCTGCTATATGACAGAACCAATAGATCTAGTCCACTCACAGGCCACCAAATTCCAAGGAAAATACATTTTCTTCCATTCCATATGTGCGCGGTCCTTAATTGCTCACTTTTCTTACCGTGCGTTAAAGTCTCCAAAGATATTGTCACTAGTGCGTGCGTAAGATTGCATAGCGGTTATAGGTAGGTATACAGGTTGTCTCAGGGTTAAACTATCAGGCTGTAGAGGGCTTTTTTACGCTATGTGCTTCTATGTTCCGAAATCTCCGCTCCTTTTTTATTTCTTTGAAGGAAACCGGACCAACATTACGGCTTGGAGTTTTCGGAGAATATTCTTTATAGAGGAAAAATCACTGAAATTTTCAACAAATGAAGTTCAGTAGAAAGATCACTATCTTCAATAAATGAAGTTCAGTGGTTTTTCATGTAGAAAGTAAAGTATGACAGGAAGTCTACAACGCCGCAAACCGACATACGCATTTCTGCATAGTTTGACTATCGATGAGTAACAAACATACCAAAGAACACGAATAATCATCCCTTCGAAAAACACATTAATTAATCTCGATAAACTTCGCTAAACCAAAAAGCCATGATGCTTAAACCTTGATGTCGTTCACTTAAGGTCTGCGTTCAATTTCGCCGTGTGAAGCAAGAAACGCATCGAAAAGTGCGAATCTACTCGAAGACCTCGTCTAGTGGCCAATTCATTAAAGACCTCTCCGTTTCAGACACAACATCTTCGATCTAATATATTTTAAGGCGCAGTTAGTTACCGCATTTGAAACCTTCACCGACGATACTTTTCACCGTCATTGCCATCGCTAAATCAATCGATTGAGCCCATTTTTACGACACGTTATTCTGAAAACCACTTACCATAAAAGTGAGTGACGTGTCACGATCAAACTTCGTCTTCACTTTGCATGGGTCTTAAATTGCACATTTTTTTTGTAAAATAAAAAATTCAGGATTTAGGTCAACAGAGATAATTGCGAACAAAATGAAAAAAGTCATTTTCAATTTCATTCCTCAAATGTTCCATTGAGTGACACGAAGTTTACGAGGTATACGATAAAAAGTAAAGTGAGTATTCTGTACACGACGAGACTTGGAATTTTGGTTGTTAGTCTACGCCTTTTTGATCGTTTTCCGCCTGCACGCCAAGGAAGTTCTCCTTCCCCAGATAAATTCAGGAGTGTTCAACAATTTTCATATTATAATAATTTTGTTTCCTGCTATAAATCATAGAGTCTTAAGTAGTAATACAGAGCTGGCATTAAAATCGTCTCAATGAGTCCAATGTAATTATTACCCTGAGTACAAAATCGAAAATGAATAGTAGTGTGCGTAGTCTTCACGCCCTCCTTCGTGATAATCTTCTTATATATTTAAATTCAAGTCAATTTCAGTAAATTAAATTCGTACTTTGTATAGGGGTCAATTTTCCTATACCCGCGTTTAAATCTCCAAGAGAGTTGCACGGTTGATCATTCTGACGAAAGCTTAAAATGATACCCAAAAGTTAATAGAATTTTATTCTTCGACATAACAGAATACTGCAGAGCCTGTTACGGTGACGCTTAGTGCGCAATTTCACACATGTCGACTCGTGTCTTTTCATGGGCGGGAGGTTTGAAATTACGCATCAAAAAACATCAAATATCTTAGCTCGGAGCGACCCTCAGTAATTTCAGTTCGAATCATGTTCTAAGTAAAAGAGATGAGGAAGCGTGAATCAGAATGCTTAGATTTGCACCTTGTTCAATAATCCATCGACATCGGAACTAGAAAATCGTGTTTTCCCTTAAAACGCATCCCGACGGCGCGGCGTAGGTCCGCAATCACATATCTCGTTTGCGGTGTCTGATAATCTCCGCCTTTATGTTAATTTTTTGAAAAGGAAAAAGTTGACATCATTCCGTGAAGTTTTTGCAGAATTTTCTTCGCAAAGGGAGGCAAAATCACGGCAGTTTCAAAGAATTGCCATTGAGTAGTTTTCCGTTTAGAGAATAAAGTATGTGCAACGTCGCAAAACGAGTTGTGTGATTACTGATTGCCGATTTACACCGTCGATACGTACTTACTTATGGATGCCTGCCTCTTGGATACAACTTGTGTAGAGACTTATGGGTGTGTGTGTTGAATGTTTCAGGAATGGCGTCGGCGTGTTACGTCTACGTGGCGGAGATCTCGCAGCCAGAGCACCGGGGGATCCTCTCTTCGACAGGGCCGGTGTTCGTCTCCCTGGGGGTGTTGATCGTCTACTCTCTGGGCTCCCTTTGCAGCTGGCAGTTCGTTTCGGCCGTCTGCGCCGCCGCGGCCATGCTCAGCTTCTCGGCCATGCAGCTCGTTCCCGAGTCCCCGTACTGGCTCGCCTCCAAGGGCATGACCAAGGAGTCCCACGCCGCCCTCAGTTGGCTCCGCAGCTCGGCCCACGTCGAGAAGGACATCTCCGAACTCGTCAACAACAGCCGCGATATCTCACCTAGGGTCTCAACACTCAAACTCATCTCCGACAGGTTAGAGCCATTGGAATCCACCTGAAAGATAAAAATCATTGAAAAACTTTAACGTAGCTGTGTGCCAAATGTAATTCCTTCAAAGCATCTATTGGCTACAAGGCACCAGATGATACTGCTAACCGTTTTGGCCTACAAACCTACAAAACTTTTTGGGGAATTTGCCCAGGTGCCCATGGATATAGTTAATTAAGAATCAAGGTCCCTCTGTCCTCAAGTCCAAGCTTGAAATTATGGATTGATACCAATTTTTCTGAGATTCGGTGCATTACCATTGCCAAAATTTAGGAAAAAATATTTATTTCCCAGAAGTTCGGTGGACAGTAGTCGCCATAGAATGCACTTTTGGAAACAAATTTTATAGAAAAGAAGGGTCTTATTCTGACCCATGGAACATGCTCCTGTAGTTTGGCGGTTTAACCTTTTAGCATTCTGTATTGTCTCCAGTGGCGTTATTTTATTTCATTCTTTTGATTTGCTTTAAAGAGGAAGTGTTGGATGGGATATTTTATGAGTTTTTCAATTTTGCAGATTCAACGATCCGTGCGTCTGGAAGCCGTTCTTCATCCTAGTTGGGTTCTTCTTGTTCCAAGAGGGCTCTGGAATCTACATCATCCTCTACTACGCCGTGGACTTCTTCCGACGAGCCGGCTCCACTGTGGACCATAACGTGGCTTCTATCATCGTGGCCTCACTCCGGTTCGCCATGTCGATATTCGGCTCGCTCTGCATCCAGAACTTCGGGCGGCGAACGCTGGCAGTTACCTCGGGCATCCTCATGGCGCTGTCCATCGGGGCGGCCGGCGTCTACGAGCACTTCTTCGAGGACTTCGCGCCCGCCGACCGGCCCTACCCGTGGGTCCCGCTCGCGTGCATCCTCACCAACGTCTGTGCCTCCATGCTGGGCCTCCTCCAGTTGCCCTGGCTCATGATCGGCGAGCTCTTCCCACTCAAGGTCCGCGGTATCATGGGCGGCGTCGTCTCCTCACTCGCCTACCTCTTCATCTTCGCCACGGTAAAGATCTACCCGAACCTCATGGCTAACCTCCAGATGTCTGGCAGTATGTTCGGCTTTGCCATCGCCTCGCTCATGGTCGTCGTCTACGCACTCATGTTCTTGCCCGAGACCCGCGGCAAAACTCTTCTAGAGATCGAACAGCGATTCTGCGATATCCCCAAAACGAACAGCACGGAGAATCTTGAGAAAGGCTTCTACATCAACCCAGCTATCAGCGTCAGCACGGTGTGTGCTATCGTCGAGAATATCAAAAAGTAGGGCTTCCAGCAGGAGAAGGTTCCAGGGTTCGGGTCATGTTTTCACCAAAGGCTCCTCCTGAGGGTCCTGAATAGAGCTAAGGAGACACCCTCCACTAGTATCGAGGCTACGAAGGAAGCATTCACTTTCAGAGCTCCAACTTTCAATTGTTTATCTGCCCACTAGTTGGCTGTTGAGCGACAAGCCAATCATTTCGTTCAACAATACAAGTCGAAGTTAGGAGAACGTGCTTGGAACGTCGCGTCACCCAGACCTCATCAGCCACCTAGTGGAGATGTCGATAACCAGTAAAGAGGTACTTAACGGTCAACACAAGAGTGACGACTGTTGGTGTCTACAAATTGAACGTATTTATGCTACAAGGAACTGTGAGCATAGGGTTTGCGTGTTAGCATAAATACGTCCAATTGTCCATAAGAAAATATTGAATCCCTGAAAGTAAAAGTTTTCAACTGTCGGCTATGGGTTAGTGGAGGGTTTCCCATTCGTCTCTGGTCCTGAAACTTGTGACTGCGCGGAGTAGAGGTTTAGTTATCGGAATTCTAGCGTAGTAGGTCTATAAAAAGTCTTGTCATCACAAACTGTAAAATTCTACAAGCAAACCGAGGGCATGCAGCACGTCTGCAGTGATACCCCTACTGATTTTAATGACGTTGGTCACAAATATAGTAATATCATCGATGTATCTCATGGATTAGCTTAAAATAATATCCTAGGCAAACGTCAAATTGCTACCTATGCATCAATATCAATGGTTATATCACCCTCTGTAACAGACAGATGCCTACAGCGCGCATTAGTGCAGGTCATGATTTTTACAACCTTGGCCTCTTCATTAATGCACGTGCAAATTTTTTTAAAAAATTGGTCATTTTACTAATTGATTTCACGAAGATGAAAGAGACCGTGGTTTGCATCGATGCGCGTTCGAATGACGTCAATTATCCATTTTTTAGGCAGCGTCGCCGTTATACTTTGATAACATCGACTGAGAGCGATTGAAATTTAGATAGACCCTGCTATGTTTTGCTCCTCCGTAAGATTCAGCCATCAAAATACAATGGTGAGACGTCGGTGTATTTGCGCATTAGGCCAATTTTTCCTTGCATACTGGAACGCGCGTGTCCAGATTAATGTAACACCTTCTCTTAGGACTGATCAAACCAATGATCAATTTTCCGATCGTTCGATTGATTGGCTTAAAAATGTATGTTCAGTTACAATGCTCTCTAGGGATACAATACCGCTAGAAGCCTAATGCCGGTGATTAAAGTTGCTCCGTGCGGAAGCTTTTGTTAGATTTTTAAAGTTTCCTGATCATTGCAAAAACATTTTTATTTTATTTTTCGCTGGTTCGGCCAGCTTTTCTGTGATATTATTTCTTACAACAGCTTCCCTCAATTAGAGCTTTAGTCTTGAAATATGACCTGAATAAACAGATCCTCGCCTTTATCTTCCTGCAACCTTTTAAGACTGGGAGGTCTTAAAAGGAACCATTCCGATGATTTCTCAAGCTCTGGTGATACATCAACGCAAAATAATCCCGAATGTGAGCTTTAAAAGAATTATATCATCCATCCGGTTCAGGAATCATGTAATTTATCAACTCCTGCCTCAGTCGTCCTTGCGTTTTTGGTATATCCATGTAGCCTGTGATGTTGAAGTTATAATCGTGGAGTTGTTATCGTGCGATCGTCGGATATCAAATTCTCGGGCTGTCTTTCAGTAGTGTTAAGAATTTCCAGAACTGTATCTGTATTTTTAGGAAGAGAATATAGGTTATTAAATATTCCTATAATTGGCCACACACTATGACTTCGAGGCTTAATTTTCTATTAGTTCTAGTGCATCAACGTTTTATCCGGTCGAATTTACTTTTGGAAAAATCATAAACTTCCACTGTTTCAAAATAAATTTTAGTAGGTACGTTTAAATGCGTGAGACGAATGGAATGAAAATTCTTTCTCTTGGCGGAGTATGATATCTCAATTTTGATGACACTGCTTATTTAAGTTAGGAACTTTGAAAGCTTCATCCCTCGTGAAAGTGGCGGAGTTGATCAGGATACTTTCTAAGAAGTTCCAGTTATGAGAGAGTTTTCTCCTCAAAAGGACCGTATGTGCTACTTCTCGGCCAAGTTGACCGAAACATGGAATCTTACAATTTCCTCGGGGATAAAAAGAGGGTCTTCCCAGACACTCAAAACTGGTCTCATTTTTTGCCTAGCCCCCGGGAAAAAGGGAGAGGAGGCCAAAGTCAATAACTATAAATGAGATTACTTTTCAACAGTTTGTCAGGCAAAGATGATCTTTCTACCGAGACCATTTTTCATTCCTGAGAAAATTTTAGGATTCCGTGTTTACGTCAATTTGGCCAAAAAAATATTAAGGTCCTTTCGTATTAAAACAATGTGCACAGAGGTAAGCTTAAAAAACTGACACTTTATTAACTTTCACAATAACGAACATCTATCAAATTAGAAAACATGGTGAACAGATCAATTGCTAAATCTCATCGCCAGTTTAGGTATATCTCAATCGCTGAGATAATTTTATAAATTCTTAGTGTTCGCCACAGCTTCAATATTTTCGTAATATTTAAGTATTAGGAAATATTAAGAGTATCAGGAAATATCTCAGCTGTCTTAGCTCCAGTGAACAATAATTATCATCGTAGCCATAAAATTTTCCATATAATTGGTGCAATTTATTATGAGTAAATTGATAGAGCAAAAATGAGCTGAAAACTACGTATATGGTGATGTGCACATCGGTAGTTTTTTAAGAGGGGAAAAGAGAGAATGAAACTTTTTTGGCGATTTCTGTATAGAGAAGAAAATATTTTTGTAAATCGACTGAAGTCATACCTGCGATTCTTTAGATAACAGGGACTGAAATCAGTGCAAGATGCATGTATCCGATGCAATTATGTGTAACTATTCAAATGGGTTTCCTTACATGTTCCTGCCCTTAAGCTTTGGAACTATGTAATTGAGCCTATTTCCTGTGTAAAATATCAATAGTCTTGTCATGTTGTGCTAATTTGTCTTATTCATCCATATCTTTTGCTATATTTTACTTTTGAAATAATAGATAAAAACATGGCCATGAGGGAAATTGTCATATTTTAGCACGGTATAGGTATAATATTTGGTGCCCCTATAAAAGAGAATCAGGCCGACATTATACCCTGCTTCACGAGTAAAATCAGTCGATATGATAGTTTGAAATTTGATCAGAGAATGTATCGTGATTTTATTGACGTCGATCTATCGCAATATTATTGAACGAAAAATTGTGATAAATTGAGATAAAATTTCGATTGTGTCCAACCCGATTTTATAGAGATGAAATTGCGACAAGATTGAGGATAATTTGGACGTATTTCTATCAAACGGAACTATGTGCATTGTGACGTGAGCCCTGTGATGCATATATTCTTATGGGTCTCAAGGCTCATGTCTTAATGCACATAGTTCCGTTTGATAGAAATACGTCCATTTCTGATATGTTGAATTGATGGTCCTGGCAATTTTATAGCCAAAAAATCGGAACTTACTCTCAAAATATCACGATCATTCCATCGAAAAATGCCACTTGGGATATTAGCCTGAAGTCGGAATGACTGATACTGATGATCCATCTCACATGACATGACGCCAGATTTTGAATGGAACGAAGTCGGTCTCTTCAGTTTAATGCCAGGCTGATTCACTACAACGAAGGGCGTAATGTTATACTTTGTGAGGAGACCTAGCAATCTGCACTCATCATTTCATTAATGTACTCATTTTCGGTATATATCCGTAAAATTTTACTCACGCTTCCACCTCAATATTATTTTTTCAATGTTCTTTTTTTAAGTAGTTTGATAGACTTATCGATACTTTAGTTCTGTTTCATGGTCTGAAATCCAACGCGGCGCTGATATTTTTTTCCTTCGTTATAATTACGTTTATTTTAGAGTTGACTCAGTAGGTATTATTTTCATCGGACTCAAGTGACCTAATATTTGTAGCTTTAGAATAATCAATTCTCTTATAATTCGGTATCCATCTAAGTTGAACAAAATAATTATTTCCTTATGATTTAAGGTTTCATTTTCCAATATAGAAGAATTTTGGTCATTGAATGAACTCTTTAGTCACTGAATTTCATTTCTACGTTTTTTTCTATCTATTGATAGATGTAAACATGTGCCCCCCACTCCACCCACCCCCCCCCGCCCCAAAATATATATTTATTTATATTCCAGTCAAATTGAACGTATCTCAGCAACTTGGATCCGTCTATTTTCTCAGTTTCAAAAAACATATGTCTGCCATGGAAATGTAAGCGGAACTAAGTGTAGTTCCCCAAACTCTGAAGTACATAGATCCTGATTAGGTACAACATTTATCAGATAATGAAAATGATGCACCCGTGCATAATCTATGTCAATTCTTAAGTATTTTTTGCGATTCACAAAAGGTTCTTATACTAGCATTCGATATCACCTGTGCCTCTAAAAATGCTCACTAAGCCAAATTTCGGAGAAAAAAAGCCTCTGACATGTTGACACTCGATTGTGCCTAATTTTTTATTTTGTTCTTATCGGCCATCAATTGCTCATTGATTTTTTGTAACGCGCTTGTGTTACGATCCGAAAATTATTCACGTTAAGAAATTCGAATGATTCATGTAAAAATAGCTGTAAGTTTTTGTACAAATTTTGTTTTTAATTTATTGAAAAATAATTGTTTTTCTACCAGTAAATAAACTCTTTTCTAATTTACTTTCATGTCATTTTTCATACAAATGCCTGTTTAGGTCAGCTTATTAATTGAAAGAGGAAGGCAGGGGAGATGTATAGAGATGGGGCTCTTATCGGGGCTCAGTTAAAGGGAGAATGAGTGGGAATTTAATATTTCTTTTTATGAATCTTCCTCACAGGATTATCAAATGCGCAGAATATATGCGCAATATATGTCGGTGATGAAATTCCAAATCACGTATCCGGGTTTGCGACGTTGCAGACCTCCTGACATACCTCATTTTTTAACTGGAGAACTATTCATTGTCAACTTTAAAAAATCTTCCGTGATTTTTCCTCTCAGTACGAAATAAATTCTGGAAATACTTCGAGGAATGATGTTGATGTCTTCCAAAAGCATAAAATAGGAGTGGAGATTTTTAAACACCTTAAACGAGATACGTGGTTTGTGCGTTTCACCGTCGTTTTATCCACCCGAATTCCTTCAATTATTTGTACAATTGCGCATACGTGAAATAATAACTTCGCCTCATTTCACAAAATTATTTACAAATTATTTTTCAAATTTCATTTTAACCCTCTGTTTCTTATTGGATGTGCGCGTTGCGTATCAAAAATTGAAGGCGCTCCCGCGTTACAAGACTAGACTGAGTTGATAGTGACGCCTTAATGCATAACTATTCGCGTTCGAAGAATGTGCGTATTACATAATGCACAAATTGAAGGCACTCCCACTATTCTCACTCACCTCTTCAATCTTCTCATATTTCAAAAGTTGAAAATTAGAAAATCCGTGGAAGCCTGAAATTCGTCGACCAATCAAAGAGCGGTACTTTTTCCTAGTAAAAATATGGAGATGGCAATGGTTCCTCTTCCTAGATACTCTGTTATTCGGGTACTACGACTAATGACAATATCCGTGCATTTCTGTAGAAAAGAGAAAAACGAAGGTGTGGGAAATCTGCAACACGCAAATCTGTGGAACACGAATAGTTGCATTAACGCGCGACAACCAAGGCGACATAATGCCGACTGTATTTTACAATATCAGAAAAAAGGGGAAAAATGGAACCTCAGTCAACAAAGATTCGAGAATAGATACTTGGCGTTTGGATGGATAGGAATATTATTAGTAGACGATTCCTTAATTCGCACATGTACATAGGTACCTCCTTATTAAATCAATCTCTTAGCAAATGCTATCGAAGAGTGGCTCGATCACCAATGCAACGTTTTCTATTGATAGGGGTGGTCAAGATCAGGCTAGCACTAATTTGCATCCTTAACGAGAACAATGATCGCGAAGAGAGAAAAACTGCAACATCGTGCAGTTAAAGGATGCACCCCACATAGCACAGAATATTGATATAATACTACAATAGTACTGACACGTCAGTAGTGTCAGTATTTATAAAATGCTGATGTATCCTGATTTAATATTATATCAAGACTATGCCAGTATTTATTAGTTACTGATTTGGAGCTGTCAAAATATTGTTACAGTATTGGCCGAAAAGGTTGATTTCATATGGAAATCAGGGTTATGACAAGGTCATCAGAACACTGCAGGACACCGACAATATGTATGCGTTACTACCTTAACACTGACACGTCTGTACACTCAGCGCACTCTGTCAAGTAGATATGAAAGTTCAGACGATGACCGTCATTTTCATAGTACTACACATGTATTACATTTGAAACATGAATTACACAAGTATACAAGTATTGAATATTATAAACCACTTACTTGATGTCCTGCGACGTTTAGTAGCGTAAAATACCCGGACGCCCTCAGGTGGATTTGAACCCGAACCGCGGAATTCCTAGCCCAGTATTCTGCCATTGAGCCACAAGGAGCTGATGGTGTTCCGGGTTAAAATCACGCCTGTTAAGGCTGTTATAGCATGCATAGCATCAGTGCGCGGCTCGACTTTCATCATAACTTTGATTAACACCGTGTTTTCTTAGGCTTCTTTTTCTTCCTATATTTTTTTTTCATTTTTTCGTGTTAATTTCTTTTCGTGTTATTTTTTTTTACCTCGTCAGCATTGACTCAATACTGTTGTTTGATATATTGAAGGTATCAGTGTTATATTCATGCTGACGCGGTATACCTTTTAACTGACAATCTTAATATCATACTGCATTAGTGTTGATGATATCATGTCAACATCCAACAATATGTATCAGTATTGACATAAGATTCTGTGCTATGTGGGACCGGTTGCCACTTTAATCCCAATCACTACCAGATCGTATAGGTTGTCAGATACAAGTCGGCTCATTCCTAGCCTGAGCTGGAGATCGCGAAGGACTCAGATCATATATTCATGACCAGGCGAAGAAACATTGCCAAATTACGTCAACAAACCGGAAAATTTACCATTCGACACTCCAAAATTTCGTTTTTAGTACATTTAGCAATCGCGGTTAAAGTCCAGAGCAGATCAGACGTTCACTATGACAGTCCTTGGCCTGAGGCGGTTTTTCATGTTAGTTATAGTGTTAGCTCGCACCTTGAGAGATTTTTATTTTCTTCGTTCTTCTTCCTGGCAAATGGTGGTGGAGGTGCTGCTATTCTCAAGGAAGTAAAGGTGTCTGTTGTTCGTGGAACCGTCGATCGTGCATTTAAGACCAATTCCTATGTTTTATCGGAGGGATTGCCTTTTAACTCATTATCAGCCATCCTTCAAAATTCAAAACTACATGTTTAACAGCATTCAGCAAGAAAACTCTAAAGTTTTTTTTTGTTGACAGCATATGCGGTTCTAGACCTCCGTGCGTTGGGGTGGCTGTAATAGCATTTTTTATTGTAAAATCTACATCGGAAAATGTCGGACACTTTTTTTAACTACAAAATTGTTAGAACAGCAATATCATTTTTTTCCGTGCATTTCAATCTTTATTCAGGGCCGGATTTAGGGGGTGGCCACATGGGCCGCGGCCCATGGCGGCAAATATAGGGGGCGGCAAATTTTGCAATTTTTTTAAATGTAGCTATAAGGAAAAATCGGATTCAGAAAAAAAACTACAAACGAGAAAATGTGACAAAATCTCTCATTTCCTATGAGTATACATCTACTTTTGTCGTCTTTCTGTGATACAATAGACAGCACCTTTAATTAGTCGAG